CACCGGTATGGGTTAGCAGATGTTTCCGCAGACTGTCCGCTCTGGAAAATTCCTTCTGGCACACCGTGCACTCGTATGGTTTCTCACCGGTATGGATTAGCTGATGTACTCGTAGATTGGAAGAATTGGAAAACAGCTTCTGGCACACCGTGCACTCATATGGTTTCTCTCCAGTATGGGTTAGCAGATGTATCCGCAGACTGCTAGACTGGGAGAACAACTTCTGGCACACAGAGCACTCAAATTGTTTCTCACCGGTATGGGTTAGCTGATGTTGTCGTAGATTGTCCGCTCTGGAAAATTCCTTCTTGCACACCGTGCACTCGTATGGTTTCTCACCGGTATGGGTTCGCAGATGTTTTCGCAGAAGGCCAGATTGGGAAAATTTCTTCTGGCACACCGTGCACTCAAATTGTTTCTCTACAGTATAGGTTCGCAGATGTTTCCGCAGACTGCCAGATTCAGAAAATTTCTTCTGGCACACCGTGCAGCCGTATGGTTTCTCACCGGTATGGGTTAGCAGATGTTGTCGTAGATTGGAAGCCTTGGCAAACAACTTCTGGCAAACCGTGCACTCGTGTTGTTTCTGTTCGGCGTGGGTTAGCTGACTCATCCTGACCTGGCAGCACTCGACTTGTGTCACGGCGTCGATTATTTCTGCTGGAACATGTGAGAGAACAGGGACACATTAACGATATATCTACTATACCGGGTGTGTAATCCGCGCCGTCTTTTTAAAATGCTTATACTGTACCGGATTCTTACGTGCGGACGGGTTGCATACTCGCACGGCGCCGTAAGGCGCCCTGGCGAGCGACGGTAGGCAAGCCCGCCCGCGTGAATCCGGTACAGTATAAGCATTTTAAAAAGAAGGCGCGGATCACCCACCCTGTCTACACAGGCTTCATGATGCTTTGGCCTTTCGCGTCCTTTTCCCCTGTCGGTCTTAAATAAGACGCCTAGTTAAAATAGCAAGATATCTGTCAAGACTGCAGCACAATTCAGATATTCGCGGTTGGCCTGACAGCGGCCATCGAACCGCCACTCAACGGGTTGCCCAAGAGAACGAAAAAAACAAAACAACAACAACAAAAAACAACCCCTCCCTACAACAGCAGCAGCAGTGTAGTGCCCCGTTCGATTGACAATCCACGGGACCCCCCGGCCACCCGCGATCCTGGATACAATACCTTTCAAAAAATACGCGAACATTCCCGGGCGAAGCGATGTCGTGTCCCCGTGTGCCGGCGCCGCGGTGAGCGGGCCCATGGCAGCGCGTCAGGTGAGTACTAAACGCCAGCGACTTACGCGGAGCGCGGGAGTGAACGGGTACGCCACGCCTCCACACCGAGGCCCCTTCTAACTTGTCGCCGGCCGGCGCCGGCACAGTATTTAAAACTTAGTACAAGGCATTCACACTGAGTTCGCGAATCGATCTATGAATGTGATCACAACAAGACTCAACCTACAGCCGGTCGTCAAGAGTCTGGTCAGTTCGTCAACGTCAGCACATGTCTCAGTGGTGCTGTATATGTAGTGCCCGCGGTACACCTTAATATCTCAAACCAAAACTGCAAATTGTGATGAAAGCAAGCCACTGCGCACACTTGTTGTCTAGACCCATTGGTGGTACATAATTCACTAAAATTAACCTCAGATTCGTTTTTTCCTGGTACGCATTAGTCGGAAACGACACCCGTCTCGGTATTTTGCAAAATTCCCCCCCCCTCCCCCACAAAATCAAAAATGGTACTCCGTAAAGCAGTGGCAGTTAAAAATTCCGAATCCTTAGCCCAAAATTAGTCGGAAACGACCCGACACATGACTTTGGTCGAAAAATAGTAAAATCGGTACATTTCGTCATATTTTTGAACATTTGTGGTTCAAAATGGGTCAAAAACCATTTTTTTAAAAAGCAAGTTGCACATTCGGAATCAGCACCCCAAAAATAGTAGGAATCGACACTGACATCACGAACATCGGCCAAGCCACAGAAATTTGAATTTTAGGGGGTGGGGGGTGAAAACCACCCCTAAAATCCGATCCTAAGGGATGAAACTTCGAGAGCTCCGGGCAAAAATGTTCTAATGGGTGTGGACAAGAGTGCGAAGTGGCTTGCTTTCATCACAATTTGCAGTTTTGGTTTGGCGTACCGCGGGCACTAGTAGCAGTACACCAAACATCATCACCTGTCTGAATTTCTAATTTTGGCATACATTTACTTCTTCGTACCAAATGATTTCTGAGGGTTTCCAAACTAAACTGCATTCTGAACAGTTTTCCCAAATTGTCATTTAGGTTTTTGAAGCTAAGTGTACTTTTTGACATATTTGCTACTAAATTTTGAAAGTGTAGGAATCCCTTAGATAAAAGCCTTGGGAAATTGTAAAATGTAAATATATGTGACGTCTCCTACATTGTTATGATCTAACTACATACCTGCGTCCAATTATTTTTCCTTTTTCATAACGAACAGAAAGCCGATAAAGATAAGAAGAAGGGTTATTGGAACGCAACAATTTTATATTGTCAGTCAACAACTTGAAAGTCCAACAAATTATAATGCATGGTAATAAAAAGATACGCTGAAGCGCTGGTTCAAGAGCCAATAAAAGTTCTTGACATATTCTGATGCCTGGGATCAACATTTCATAACAATAAAGTAGAAAGTGATTGGGTATTTATTTAAGCACAGGTCCAAATACTACTAGTCACTATTTCTCCCGCCAACGAACATACTGACCTTAATTGTCATCAGCAATAACAACCAAGACAAGCGGCCAACTGACGGTTCTTTCTTGGGAAATGCCAACTCAAATAACTCCGTGATGCAAGTCTGGTGGAGACGACCAAATGTTAGGTTATGTTCATGAGTTTAGTACAACGAAATGTCAAAGAAGGGGCTATACCTGCTTACAATGGCACGAGAGGATCGCTTGTTATGCAATCGTACCAAAAGCTTGATTTGTCACGGATCCTACGAGACTACGAGAAGTGACGTGATGTGTAGTGGTGCTGTTGACACGGTGGAAGAAAGACAGACACGGACAAACAGCCGAGTCGACAGCAACAACGAGAAGGCGACTCAAACTCAAACCACGTCAGCGCTGTATCCGACGTAAGGTTTTCTAACGACCCTCTACGAACTTTGGCGGTTAGGTTTACACCTCCACAACTTTCAAAAAGCAAGGTAAGTCAGATTGATGCTAAAATCCAAAAAGATGGGTATCGGTGATAATGTCCTGTGGTGTGTCGCCCCACATAACGCTGTCCGCTCTCGCATATTACGACCACATGTCTCTTTAAGATGTCGTTCTTCACCATATAAGCAGTTTTCTATGTCAAAACTTCCCTCAGTCGCTCCTCCTCTTATCAAATGTGTAACCATGAAAGAGGTTATGTTCGTCTAGCTCCCTGAGCCTGAGAACGCTCTACTTCCGTTCTCCCCACTACCCCCCTCCCTCACCCTGTTTCAGTTGTTTACCACAAATCCAGATTCAGTGTGTGATGTGGTGGTGAAGGAGTAGATTCACAGGGATGTGGTCCAACCCTGCGCGGGGCAGCTGCGTAAGTGAGGAGCGAAAGATCAGAGGTCTCGGACAGTACGGTTCTATGGGTGTCCGGGTCCGCCGCGCCGCGCCCGTCTCCCTGAAGCGCCTTGTGTCTTGGGCCCCACGCCCGCCTCGGTACCCTAAACCAAAGGAGAGGCCGGGAATACAATGGCCACGCGTTTTTTGTTTGTCGGTCGCGAGGCGGTGCTTGTGATGCTCGCCGGTGCCACTCAGGCTGGGTTGTCATTACTCTGATACCCGACCGTGCCGCCGCCTCTCAGCCCCCTCTCTCCCCCTCTACCCTTCTCTTTCCCCCTTCCCCCCTTCCCGAGTCTGCCCATGACGTGGACGGCAGGGCGGAAGAGAGCACCCCAGGGTAGGCGTCGGCGGACACAGCTATCCGTCCCGTCCCGGACATAGCACTGCATTTCCTCGTAGACTGCCTCATCCAAAGTGGTCGGTACGCGTCCGAGGCCAGCGGTAGATGTTGTTGTTTACGACGTTCTCTCATGAAACAGCGGAGAGACGGTTTCTTCTACCTTCCTGGGCTGGGCGCCCCCGCCGCGCCTCGGGCTCTCAGCCTGTCAGGCCGGCGGCTAGGCAGACCCGCAAAGCACGCCTGTGTCGTGGTTGCCTATCCACCAGGGGCCGAGCCGAGGCCACTAGTTTTTCCCTCGACCGTGCGCGTGCGAGGAGGGTAGGGGGGAAAACTGCCAGGCGATGCGGAGGAATCGACCTTCTAGTACCTACCTACGGCACCCTCGGGGTCTGTCACTGACGACTTGACCTCACACAGGGCGTGTGAGCCGTAAAACTCCAAGCCGCCGCCGCTGGCCGCCGCACTCGAACACGAGGGAGATCTCTTGGCGGTGACTTTTTTTGAAATGTTGATTGGGACGGTGGGAAGGGGGCAGGGGGGGGATAGGATGATAAGTGGAGGAGTGTGCACTGGGGGCAGCGCCGGCCAGAGCGGCCAGTGCATGACCAGGCGGTTTTCGACGAAAAGACGCGCCGCCCTGAGCGGAGAGCAACACCGACTCTCGCCTCACACCGACTCATCGGCCCCGCCGCCCGGAGCACGTCACAACACCGCCCCTCTGCGGCGAATACTGAGCAGGCGGCGCGGACGGCGGAGCCTTCATCTCGATTTTGTATGTGCAATGTGCCTCGATTTGTCCTCAAAATAGAAACCAGTTAAAGGTTCTGTATAAGCGCTGTGCGGTTTTTAACACACCCTTCTGGCTTGGAACAGCTGTCGAGTGGCCTCAACGACATCGAGGTCTGTCGTTTGTATGTACCGTCTATCTGTCTAGATCAAATGGCTAGATATCAAATCCCGGCAACGCAGATAGTGCAAAATACGTAGCAAATTTACAAAGATTTTTTTTTCACGGGTGACCATTGCATCTAAATGGCAGTATGCTGCAAGTCGCAAAAGTGCCCTCGTTGAGAGAAGTGTTATATTTCCATTTGCTGTACAACACGTTTGCGCCCCGCACGGCAGGGCACGGCACGCGGAGGGCGATGCCGAGTTAGTGAGTGCGCGGCGTGCTGCTCCTTTTGCCCGCGCCCTGCCGCCGCCCCGCCCCGCCTCGCTGCCACTCTGGGAAGCGAAACCAAACTGCATCGTGGGCAGAGGAGGTGTATTCCATTAACACCGGCGCGGCTTTCCATGGGAGAGGGAGCCGCGCGGGGGCCCCGCCGGGGCAGGGGCCGGGGCCGGGCGGGGAGCTTTTAGGGGCCCACAGCCCTGTCACCGCCCCCTGCTGCCTGCGCAGCCTTCGCGGCCCTTGCCTCCCCCTCCGGCTGCTCTCCGGCACCGCCGCCGGTAGCGATGAGTGGCTGTCGACACCCGAGTCAAACACTGCCGGGCGTGGCGTGGCGTGGCGGGGCGGGGCGTGGCGGGGCGTGGCGGGGCAGCACTCCGGCACCTCATTACTATACACTTTATTATGAATAATAATGGAAAACAAAGCCGCCGCCGCCGCCATGGGAGTTTTTCAGCGCCGCCGCCGATATCCTCTGCTGCTACTGCTGGGAGGGCGGCAGCAGGCCGTACCGCGGGCAGGTGGGTGGGTGGGAGTCGGCCGCCCTATAGGCCTAAAGGAGCCCCTCCGCGTTATTGTTTCATTTCTGGCCCAGGTCGCTCCCTTTCAAAGAGGAATCACGCGGCGATGTACCGCGACTGTGTAGCTATGAAGCGATGCGTTTTCTCTGCTGGTGCGATGAGAGGGGCATGAGGACATGCGGGTGTATGTACCAGGTGGCTGATTGACCCCGCTTACTTCTGTAGTTAGACTACCGAACGCACGAGTGCGGGCGGGTTGCCTACTCGCCCGGCCCGTAAGGCGCCGTGGACAGGGGCGATAGGCAAGCCCGCCCGCACTCCTGCGTGCGGTACAGTCTAACGGCGTAAGTGCGCGGGGTTAATCAGCCACCTGGTATGTGGGCAGTTTCCAAGAGCCTGCTCGGAGTGTGGTCCACAAAAGAAAGTTGTCCACAACACGGCAAGAGCCTTGGCTTTCGGATGAAACGGGATCAAATGGATAAACAGATTTATACACTTTAGAGAGTAGCTGATTGTGGGCTTCAGACTGATTTCGTAAAGTTCGCGTACACCATGTAGCAGCATTTCCTAGAAGTAAACAAAAGACGACAATTATTAATTTGCTCAAGGGTTTAAGTAGTATTTGCCTCTAGTTTTCCAAGCGCACCCCGGGTGAGCCAGGAGCGATGAGCGCGCACCGGGAGCAGTAGCAGCGGCGGCGGCGGCAGCAGGAGCGGAGCAACAGCAGCGGGCTCAGATGCGGCGCGGAGTAGCTTCCAGAGTTGCGCCCTGTCATTTTCTTCGCCGCACTCCGCTCCATCCTCCTGACCCCTTGCCACTCCTCCTCCTCCTCCTCCCTCACCTCCCCCTCCGCCGCCGACCCGCCACCCTGCCGCATAGCCCCTGCACCGCGCCGGCCTCACCCCGGCCACCTCCGGCGGCCTCCTCCGGGTCCGGGGCGAGTGGGCGGCCTAAAAGTGAAGTCTCTGCTGTCGCCCGGCTGTTTTTATCGAGGGCGGGGCCGGCCGGGGAGGCTTTGAGGAAGCCGTCGGTACGGTAGGCCGGGCCGTGCCCTGCCCGCGCTAGACGGCTCCGAGTGCGACTTGATTTCTCATTCAATTACCACCAAGCCCAGCGCCGGCATCGTGAGGGTTTTCTTCTGAGAGCGGCGGGAGGAGGGCGCGATGACTGTTCACGCCTCGCTGGCGTGTGATGGGGGCAACACGCACACCGGCTGCTGTCGCTAAGTGCGAAAAGGGCGGGGTTTAGGTGTTGGCGCGAGGTGTTGCGAGCCCGCCGGGGGCATCACCTAAATGGCGCCCATCTCCTTCGCACTGACGTTTGTTGAAGCTTGCTGGAGGAGGAGCAGGATGGTGGAGAGGCTGGAGGTTCGAGAGGGCGGCACAGCGAACAGGTCATGCGAGGTGCGGTCGATATAAAATCGCAGCGACCGGCAGAACGCTTGTTCCCTATCAAAGGGATATCGAAATATAGACGTCGAAATTGCGACTACTTTATAGCAGATATGACACCTTAAAACGACTTCACTACAAAGCGCTTACTAACAAACTGAACATCAAAATCAACCCGGATACAGTGTGGTCGCTGTGCCCCGTCGGAGCAAACGCGTGTACTAGCCAGCCCGCATGCATAGTTCCAGGTGCAAGTAGGCGATACGCGGACCAACAATTCATTTCATGATTGCAGTTTTCCACTTGTAACGAAAAAGTTAAAATTTCGCACAGTTTTAACTTTGGCCTTACCGAGCCCTACTGAACACCACGGAAAAAAAGATTCGCTGCCACAGCTTTAATATTTTGCAGGTCTTTGTGGGAGAGGAAAAAGGGGGGAAAGGGGGGAGGGGCAGAATGGTGTCGGTATGGCATGGCCAGAAACAAAACACCGCGTGAGCAAGACAAAGCGAGGGATGGTGTCGGAGCGAGACGGAAGAATCTTGATGGCGGGTTGAGTGAATTAAAAAGAGCCTAGCAGCTGACGGGCTGGTAGTGCCGCGTCCCGTCCTCCGCCACGACTCCACGCCCCGCAAGCAGCGCTCCTCTCCCTCTTACCAACGGCGCTCCCCCCTCCTCCCTTCTGCTCTGCGGGCTTTAGGGGCGGAACTCCTATGGGCAGAGAGAGGGAGAGAGGCCGGGTGAGAGAGAGAAAGAGAGAGGTGTGTGTGTGGGGGGGGGGGGATAGGCATAATGTAAGCACGCAACCACTTCTTATATTATGGGTTTCATCTTGGGGGCGTTTACCTACAGACTGACATGAAGCTTCATGCCCACCCACAACATATGGACAGGGGCGCGGTCGAGTCACTATGACTCTCAACAATTACAGGCTTTCTGTGCCAGCGCGCAGTGGTGTGGAGAAGCATTATACGCTCCCAGTGTCTTAATTCCGCTTAACTTCATCACACTAGCCGCAGATGACGACGCTTTGTCGGGCGAGTAGAAGGCGAGGAAGAGGGGGGCGGAGGAGGAGGAGGAGGAGGATGAGCTCTGCCGAATATCTCGACCGTGAGCCACGACGGCAAAAGCTTTCGGCGGCGTCATCGCTGTTTTAAAGCTGTTTGAGAACGCCGTTTTTTTGCCCCCCGCGCCCGCGATTCTTACGACACTCACTGAAACATCCGCGCGGCGTGCAGCAGCGGCAGACGCCTCGTCGCCCGCCCCGGCGCCAGTGCCACCGCGGCGCAGAAAGAACAGCAAGAAACAATTGTCGTATCTACACCCTCCCCCTCCCCTCCCTCTCTCCCTGAAGTGAACCGTGGGTTCCCCCCGCACCCTGCAGACAATGTCGAGGAAGCCGAGGATGCGCATGTTTCACCCGTGTTTCACATGAA